ACTGTACATCTAATGGCTAAAATTTAAAATGCTTTGTTTTTTTACTACACTATTGATTTTTTTTGGGGGGTGGGGTTAGAAGACTCCTAGGGAAGGAACTCTCTTCACCAATTGTCACTATATTGCAATGTACTGTCTTGTAATTGCAAAGAAATTGCATACACACAGAAAGACATGAGTGTGTGTAAGAATAATTAGGCACCTACTCACTAGTTTTTTGGAGTCAGAGGTCATGGGTTCAAATTCTAACTCTGCCTACAGGACCATGGACAAGTCATTTCATTTTGGGGGCAAAATTCTTTCAACTGCAAAATGTGTGAGGGACTAGGGAGGGGGGAGGCAGGGAGAGCAGTTAGGGTTGAATAGATAATCCACAGCTCCAACATTTCTCTAAATCTATGCAGTTTAGCTAAACATAGTTTCATCCTCAGGTTTTACTAAAACAGGTTTTGCTTATAATTCACTTTAAATTTGCATGTGTCAAATGTTCTTCCTGAATGTCATTGTGATTTTTCACCACCTAAGATTCAACTGCTTTGTCCAGCAGTTTGTTCTTAATTGAAAAAGACTCTTCTAGGCCTTAGCTATGATGGTCTATTTACCTTTTGGAGCTTGCTTGTTAAGAAAGTGCTTAGTCTCTTCCAAGTAAATTCCCAATAATTAGCACAAAGCCTGGCACATGATAACTGCTTCATAAAAGGAAGTACAAAATAGTGATCTCAAGAAGGAAGGTGAGGGAGGCAGAGATAGCAAGACAAATGAGAGAGTGTAATTGTTGTCTTTGATGCCAGATGATTAAATGAGGGGACCACCTGAGGTTTATACCCAGTGAATCTATGATGAAGGAAGCACAAGGGCTAACACTCAGGCAGAGACTGAACTGGTGATACTGAAGGAAAAGGTGCCCATACCAGAAAGCTTTAGCATTTCATAACAATAGAAAGAACATGTTTTCTTTAATATCCTGAATATCAATTCCTGCATGTTAGTACATTGTGAATGCCCACAGGGAATGTAGTATTTTGTTTATTGAATTAACTATTAAACTATAATAAGGTTGTACATATACTAACATTTCAGGAATATTCATTTTTAATAACACATTAAATAATAATAACTATTTTGGTTCATCTCTTTGCGATCAAAAAAGATTGGACTGGGCATGTAAAGAGGGAAAACAGACCAATTATGACATTAATTATATTGCTTCAGACTTCTTCATCAAAGAGCATTCTAATATGTTTTGTATCACTAAAATTCTATGAAGGTACTTTTTAAAATGCACAGATTTGTCTAGGTTGGAGGTTATTATTATTATTATTATTGTTATTATTATTATTATTATTATTATAGTTACTGAATAAACAACTGAAATAGGCATCAGTACACCAATGTTCCACTTTTAAAAAAGCAAGGATTAATAAATGCTTGATGTATCCCTCATATCATCTCAGGAACAAAATTATTATTATTAACAACAATAAGAACAACAATGCACTTAAATATAATCTTTTATGTACAACTTAATTGAGGAGGCCAAGACTGCACACGTAAAATAATCAGTGTACATGGGCAGCCATATACCTAATGGAATTACATCATACGCATTCTAAGAAAATAAAATGTGAAGCTTTGGGCTACAAATAATTAGAAGACAGAATGTAATAAGCTGCTAATTGTGTGGTTCAGGAAATAAGTACAAAGGAGTTAGAGAAGATGGAGATTAATGTGGGCTGACTGTCAGTCAAGTCATTTCCTTTGTCTTTGCTTCAATTTCTCTATTTCAAACCATCAATAATTATTATGCTAACACTTCCTTACACCCAGCCTCTTGGGAATTTAGAGAATAAATGAGAGAGTCTGTGAAGTTTAAAGTAAGTTCCTAGAAATCAAGGACACTTTATGGGTTTTTGTTTTGTCTTTGTATTTTGTCTTCGTGTTCTAAATACCTCAAAGTACCTGCCACATAGTTAGCATTTCCCAGTCACTTCTTGGCTCTGCCTCTGACTTTTCAAGAATCAAAATTCTTTTATCAACTGCCTCTTCACCCTAGACATGCATTTGCCCTAGTTGAGACCTTCTCACCCTGGAACAGCCCCATTTCCTGCAGGGTCCCTTTTCCCATTTGTTAATTCCTCCCAGTGCCTCCATTTTGAGGAAGGGCCCAGGCCAAGCTAGTGTCACTTACCTCCTAGTTCTGCTTCTGACTTGCTATACTCTAGTGTCTTATTTTGGTTTGAATTTGCAGCCTTAGCACTTAATATAGTGCCTAGTGTGTAGTAAGAGCTTAATAAATGCTGCTTGCCTTCCTTTGCTTTGCCGAATACATATTGAATTTTATTGGAAGTATTTGAAATTAGGGTCCAAAGTGCCCAAGGAATTAACTCACCAAGAAGATGCTAACTTCAGTGGACCATATACACATTTAGTTTCCTGGGATAATTTTATTGTCCTTTCATCAGCATACTGAAAAGCTGTTCCTGAGCATCTCCCTAGGGAAGTTCTTTATTTGAAATTATGTTGAAGACTTTGACAATGATCTTTGAAAGGTGGAAAGTTTAATATCCCTTTTAGTCAGAGTTCCGTAGTTCACACTGAACATTTCTAAGTAAATAACCGAAATAACCTTGATGGTAGAGGTTTTGGTTTTTGTTTGTTTTTGTGTTCTCTTCTACCTTCACATTAGTTAGAGTTCAAACCCAAGTTGCTGGGCAACCACAAATAGTATATGGCCTATCTTTAATGCATCAAGAAATCATTACTAGTGATTTCTTCACCTCAAAAAAAAAAACTACCTCAAATATTATAGGGTTGGAAAAGTCATTTGCTTGTTCTGTCTCATTTTTTCTGATTATAAGTTAAAAACAATGTTTGCTTCCAATCTTGTATCTCAGGAGTTCAAAGATTAACGAGAATATTCAAAAAGTTTCAAATGACTTTAAAATAAGGGGGGGACATAAACAATGGTAATAAGGACATGGGCAGGAGATACAAGCTTAAAATTTCTTGAATCATATCCCTAGCTTGTAACTCCACGTTAAAAGATCCTTTTAGCATGCCTTACCTTGTGAAAGTATAAAATGCCCTCTTCTTTTGTATAACTAATTCACAAGACCTCTCAAGTATGGTCAGATATTTTAAATGACATATACCAAAGAGAAGGAGGGTCACAAAACCTAGGATATATACTGAATGAGCCAGTTAGACTAGTGAATAAAAGGCAAAAATTCAGAATCACAAAACTTCAGAGAAAGGAAGGACATCAAGGGTCATCCAACCAAGAGAATATAAGCTCCCTGAGGACCCTTTTCATGCTTTTGGTCTTTGTGCCTCCATTACTTGGCACTGGGCCATGACATAAGAGGTACTTAGCAAATTTTTGTCATCAAATTGAAATTAGTGCAATCTTAAAAGAATTACCTCTGAAACATTCCCAATGCACTAAGGCTCATGAAAAAAATGCTTGAGCCAAAGCAAAGGACTTTATAAACAGAACGTGTAACATGGTGCAGTGTAATGATCGCTGCCTTAAAAGTCAAAGAATTTTGTTTCCCATGTTCTTCTACTTAGCAGCTATCTGACTTTGGGCAAAACACTTGGTCTCTCATGGCTTAACTTTACTCATCTCTAAGGGGAAGAGGTCAGACTAGATGACATCTAAGGTCCTTTCCAGCTTTAAATTTACAATAATATGATCCATTCAGTCATGCAAGGGTTAGAGCCACTCTTGGGGAAAATGACATAATATTATTGAATAATAAAACAACACTGATTCAATGAATGAAGTTAAAGAGGCAATTGCAATCCAAGTTAATGAACTACCTATCTACTTGAAATAAATTCTAAACCCCAGTCCAATTCAATTACTTCACAATTTCTGGAGGAACTTGCAGGAGTAATCTCAAAATTACTGGTGTTCATGTTTGACAAATTGTAGAGGATAGCAGAGGCACCAGAATATTGACAATAAGCAAATGTTTCAATTTGAAAAATAAAATCAAATAACAGGAGGTACTGAATATTGAAATTCATCAACCAAAAAATAATAATAGTAATAAAATAACCTTGGTTTTGATAAAATTCTAGGATTGGATTGTAAAACAGATTACGCCTGAGCATTTATAAAAGCTAGATCATCTAGCCTAACCCCTTAGTTTTATAAATGAGGCACAGGTTCAAGTCACATATTTTGTATCACACAGTGATAAGTGGAAAAGTGAAGTTCTGAACATTGGTTTTCTAACTCTTTCCACTACCCCATGTTGTCAGAGCCACAGAACGGTTTATGGCATACTCAAGATTATGTTGCCCAAATCTCCTTCTTCCTCTTTATTATTTATCTATTTATTCTGTTTCACTGGAATTCAAGATAAAACAATGAACGTACTAATATATTCAGAGGTGGGGGTGTTGGAGGGAAGAGATTAAAAAAATGCAAAGGAGAATTCTGACCCTAAAAGAATTTGCAATACTGTTGAGGAGATAAAATTTGCACAGTAATTATAAAACAGTTAACAACTGAAAAGCAGGAAATGAAATGCATAACATATCTTGATTTCAGGAAATCATCTGACAAATGCCCATACAATACCCTTGCTGCTAAGTAATTGAAATATAGGGCAGATAATAATAATAATAATAATAATAATAATAATAATAACAATAATAATAATAATAATAATGGCAGATGATGTAGCAGTCAAAGACAAAGGGTATTAATTGGCAATTCTGTCATGATATTAGAGTGAGGTCTCTAGTAGAATATACTCGTATTTGTGTTGCTCACCTTTTTAAATCATGAAATGTAGAAATTCAGAGCTGGAGGTTAAAGATATCTTGCATAATGCTCTCATTTTACAGATGAGAAAACTGAGACACAAAGACTGTGACTTAGAGAAAGTCACACTGATATAAAGTGGATGATACAGGATTTGAATTAGATCCTTTACTCCAAATGCCACTATTTCAATATGTTTCTTCACATTTTCAGATGAGAAAGTCCCGGAAAAGATAAATAATGGAAGAGATGATGGAATCAAAATTTTTCTCACACGCTGAAACCAAAAGGAGAAACACAGAAGACAGGGGTAAACATAAACTCCAGCATTTAGACTCAAAAACTCTTTTGCACATGAGACAGCTTGACATATTGGAGGTGGGTGGGGAGAAATGTACTGAACTGCTGTCAGGATACATGGACTTTACTGTTCCTGTTACTAACTATGTTACTTTGAACTGTTAACTTTCTTTCCCTGGGACTCAATTACCTCATCTGTAGAATAACAAAATTCTTGATGATGTCTATGGGTCCTTTCAAATCTAAATATGATGATTCTTCTAGTTTAAGTATAAGTTGGGGAAAAGCTAATTCATGTGTACTTCACAAAGCCAATTCACATGTATTTCATGTAAAAATTTAGCATTTACAGGAAATGCTGAGTGGATTATATTTGGAAATTCACAAAATTAATTTCATAATCTCAAACAATTACCAGAAACAGAAGCCACTTTTTAATATCAATATTCTTGTTGCATAGCGTAAGTCACGGAACCCTCCCTGGAATCACCTCTTTCTCAATAGATGGCCTTGGATTGTACCATGAGTACAACTAAGAAGGTAAAACTGAAGCAAGTGGAGAATGTAAGTATATTACAATATACAACAAAGTAAGTACTTCAAAGAAGAACCAGAGTAAAGGATATCATAAAAAAAATATGATTAAAAAAAGATAACAATTTTGGCCACATGGCAATTGAAAAAGGTGACTGAACGGTAGTCCAGTCGACTTATATGCTTGTTATGTCAAGAAAAAAAGTGGGGAGAAAACAGGATATTGTCTAGGGCTCCCTTTGGTCAGATTGTTCAAGGACACTGATGAGAATGTAATAGAATGAGCAGGCATGAATGGCTTGTGAAATACAGCATCTTGGAAATATCCACATCAATGAGATCCCAGATCTAATTGATTTTTTTTTTTAGTAATTAACTGTCTCTCTTCAACTACTTTATTGCCCCAGATATTCTCAGAGCCATTCTGTTCTTTTGCCTGTGCTTCTAATTGTAGATATCTCACACTCTTTTTATCTTATTCTGGATATTTTTGTCTTGCATTCTTTTACTCCCCAAATATTTCTTTGTTTTATTAAGAGTTCTTCATTTCCACATTCTCTACATGAATTTTTGTTTCCGGAGTCCCTTCCTTTTCTTTCCTTTTGGTTGTTGTTCTTTGACTTTATTGAAAAGGTTTATGATCATTTTTGAGGTGGTAGCTAGTAGCTGTGCTTAGATATAACCTCTTCCTCAATTTCCTTGCTGGAACTTCTTCCCCCTTTTCTTTCACTCTTCCCATGGTCATTGCAGAAACAGAAAGGGCAACACAGGGCTTAGGATCATTTTGGATTTTTCTTTGCTTCACAGGTTAACACAACTAAAATATTAGTGGCCAGCCTATTGGTAATGAGCTTCTGTCACTGCTGCCTATTCAAAGCTTTTATAACATGTTAGTCCCTGTCAGGGCTTGTTCTCAATTGTATAGCCTTTAAGAATTCAGACTCACAAGAGGCAGCGAGGTGGCCCAGTGGATAGAACTCTGGCCTTGGAGTTGGGAGGACCTGAATTTAAATCTGACCTTAGATACTTGACACTTACTAGCTATGTGACCCTAGGCAAGTCACTTCACCCCGATTGCCTCACCAAAAAGAAAAAAAAAATTCAGACTCACCTCCACTTAGAGATGGCAGCATCAGAATAGGACTTCATATAATTACAAACTACCAACAATATTTCTATTTTGTCAATACATAATTGTAAATTAATGATTATTATAATACAACTATCTACATATCACTTTTAGAACTAAAATGTTATGGATCTGGAGTGAGAAAAAAAAAGTTGATCCAAAACTGGCCTTGAACACTTATTAGTTGCATAATCCTGAACAAATCACTTAATCTTACTGACTCAATTTCCTCATCTGTAAAATGGAAACAGAATAGTCCCTACCTCCCACAGTTGTCCTGAAGAGTAAATGTTATAAAATTTGGAAGTGTTTTGCAAACTCTAAAGCACATGCTTTACATGCTACACATGCTAGCTATCATTACTATCCCTATTTCGAGATGGGGAGAGTAAGGCATCAAGAGGTTAAATGATAAGCACTTCATAGTTACAAACCATTCTGTATGTATCATTTTGGTTGATCCTCAAACAAATCAAGTGAAGTAGTATAAATATTTTATTCTCATTTCATAAATGAAGAAATTGAGACTCTGTGAGATTAAATGGTTCTGCCCAAAGTCACATAACTACAAGGAGGGAAATGCCGGATTACACACAGATTTTCCAACTCCAACTCTTATGCAGCAAGATGCTGTCCTTCATAAAAATAGTCGCCAATATGGCAGCCACAATCAGCTCCCAACACTTCCTTCACTTTTATCTTTTTTTATCTTTCTAATTTGCTCTTCAGAATCTCAACAAGATAAATATGTGAACAAATCTAGAGCTGGAAATTACGGTGCCAATAAGATAATTACCTAACCAGCAATGTGCCAAAGATCAGTTTAAGTGCAGCCATTAACTTCATTTATATTCACAAAGATGCTATTTCTTTTCCAAAGAGAATGGACTGTGAGGAAAGACTTTTCCCAGAGAAATAGCAACCAGAGTGATCCATTAAGTTTGACAATTTATATGCTTGTAAACCTGGCAGGAAATCTGTAACTAACTGAGGATTGGAAAGATTGATGAGGATTGACTTGTCTATATTTCCATACCACTCATCTGTCAGAATCATTACACAAGGAGGATTTATATCGTCATTTATAGAAGCAAAGGTATGGGACATTTGGTGATTTCTTTTGTCTGAAAATATTAGAAAAAATACAAGAATGTCAGAGAATAGTATTTTAAACTTTATTTGTAATTTGTGGTTACCAGTAATAGCGTAGGATTTTCTCAGTTTGGCTCCAAACAATCTTTCAAGTTGATTGAACATTACTTCACCTCATGCACTCTCATGTTCCAGTTAAATTTGACTACTTGCTCTTTCCTGTACGTGGCATTCTATCTCCTGTCACTGTGTCTTTGTATAGTGTGCTGTTTATATCTAGAATCTACTCCCTTATAATCGCCATTTCTTGGAAACCTAAGCCTCTCATAATACCTTTAGTTGTTATTTGTCCATCCTCTACTCAGAAATTATTTTGTGTATATTTTTGTATTTGTACTGTATCTTTGGAAAGCAACACTTTTTTTTAAATTTTGTGACAAAAATGGTTACATGTGGGCTTGTGTTTCCCATGACAGTAGTTTGACTCAGAGCCTCTGACCTTGTAGCCTTGTGAGAGCACACTTCAGTGACTGGTAGTGTTATGTCAGCTGCTGTTGGTGACTGGACTTCAAGTGTTTCAAGCACACAGTGAAAAGAGATAAGTTGCCCTGAAGCACAAAAAATGAAAAACAGCAATAAGAACTGAAAGCTATTGCTGGGATGGGGGTGGGGGTGAAATAAAAGAGCTAATTAATTGTCATAAAAAAGCAAAAAAAAAAGTCTTATGGATTTGGCATCTGGGGTGAGGGGTTTTTATTCAGTCTTCTAAAGTGCAACTTGTTCTTTTTGAAGTAGGGAGAGCCTTGAGACTAGCAAAGTCAAAAACAAACAAAAACAGCTGTTAAATATTACTATGAACAAAAAATAAAACAGACTTTTAATTGGCAAGGCAATAGGAGGCTAATTATAGTGAAGACTAGAAAAAGATAATTTTTATTCTTGAAATTCTCTTTGCCATTTAATTATATTAAAAAGAAAAAGAGGCTTTCAGAAGTGTAAGTGAATCTGTAGGATCCAGGCATCTTCATCAGAGTCTAAGATATACACCCCTGTCGAGGCTGCTGCCTCCCTCTTGACCTCTGAGCAAAAATAAAAAAAAGTTACTGAAAGTTTTTTTTTTAAATTTACAACAACTATAGAAGTATTTTTCTTATTGAGAGAATGATGAACTCTGATAATAAGCATATTGCTATACCAAGAAGCGGAGTTATTCTGAAAATAGCAGAAATTCCCAAATAGAGATGGAATACTATAATATAACCTTTCATTAGGCCACACATCAGAAAGGCTATAAATATAGATTTATAAAGATTATCTTGCTTAAATCACTTTTTTTAACCTGAAAGGATATAGGCTAGTTTGTGAAAGACCCATTTGAGAACTTGTTGGTACAATCAGTTATGGGCAAAATAAAGGACACTATGCATTTTTACATTTCTTATGAATCGGAACTGCTATAACTGTACTATCAATTATCAAGTAAGATTAGGCTTCCTTTTGTAGGACTTACCCTGTGTGCTTGTTTAAACAGAGAAATTTATCTAAGAGATGGGGATAAGCAGATTTCAATGACCTTGACCTCACCTGATACATGATCAATTGAAAACCTATGTTTTTAATCAAGCTTAGACATAGAAAAATGGACTTTTGGTCAAAGGTATATTTAATAGCCAATGAGATATACTGTTTGATGATGAATTTTAAAATGTGGGTATAAAGCTTACAAAAACAGATGATTTAAACAAGAAAGGAACACATTGCATAGTGAGTATTTTAAGAAATAAAAGGTATTATTGTATTTCAATATATTCAGTTTACTTTACCCCAATTAGTTTACAAACCACTCTACTTAGCCATGTGCATGCTCCTTCCCATGAATTCAAAGCAAGCTCCTTGAAAAAAAAATGATTCTTTCATTTTTTTTCTCTGTTTCCCTAATGCCCAGTATGGTACCTGGTGTATAATAGGCATTTAATAAAGACCTTAGCTTCCTTTTTAGTTTAATTACAGTGTTCTTCATATGAACAATGTTCATATCTTGAGTGGATGCAGAGCATAATGGATAGAGGACTGGCCTTTGAGCCAAGAAAATCTGAGTTCAAGTACTACTTTTGTGACTCTTGCTAAAATGACCATAGTCACTTGGCCTTTTAATGGCCCTAGGCAATTCTCTAAGATTATAAATTCAAGAAAAGTGGCTGGCTAATCTGCATCAGCTAAATGTTCCACTTTAAACAAAGGATTGCATTTATAAAATGCTTTCAATTAGTTACTTCTTTCTATGCCATCCTCTCATGCCTAGAACGTCTGTCCAAAAAATGTCTACTCTTGCACTGAAAAATCACCTTAAGCCTTATCTTTGAGCAAAAGATTATCTTGATTAGGTAAATTATGATAAGAGATTTCTTCCTCCGTATTTATGTGTCATACAAATTAAATTACTCTCTGCATTTCAGATATAGTTTAATATTTAGTTATTGTCAAAATAAAAGATACTAAACATTTTCACATTTCTTAATGTATTGAATTGCTTTAACTGTACTATGTCATCAAGATCAGACTTCCTTTTGTAAGATTCACCCTATTGCTTGTTTAAACAGAGAATTAATAACCCATGGAACAGAGTGCTGTGCAAACATGTCCTACTTATTCAGGATTAGATTTGATTTCAAAACTATATTGGAATTTGAATCATAGCTTGCTTCTCATAATATGCTAATTTAATACAACAAACATTTATTGAGTACCCATTATGTGCCAGGTGTCATACTAGGTGTTGAGGAAGAAAGAAGGAGAGAGAGAGAGACAGAGAGACAGAGGCAGAGACAGAGACAGAGACAGAGACACAGAGAGAGAAGGAAAGAAAAAAATTTAGGAATGACAAACTACAGTCTGACCAAAAGGGAATGAGAGGATCTCTCTAGAAAATACACACTCTGTGGACAAAGTAAACCATATATATCATGGATATTTATTTCCTCCATCACAAATGAAACTTGAAAAAAAACCAATAGATTCATAAATGTATATTGACATATACAGCACAGCATAATAACCCCTAATTACTATTATACCCTCCCAGAGGATTGATGCTTAAAAAAAGAAAAACCATTGTGGGAACTAAACTGTCTAAATTGCTCATTCAGTGTACATATACTTTGGCAAGTCAGAGGGAAAGGCCTTAATCCTGATATTCCAAGAGCATGTCTTCTCCCTCACTTTCCCAGCAGTAAATCACACACAGAACCCCAATACTACCACCACCACCACTCTACAATCTTCCCGGAGACAAGTAGTATCCTACACTCTTGCTTTACCTAAACCCTCTTCTGTTGTAACCATGTGATACCAAACTTACTTTCCTTGAATTTTACTTTTCTTATCTGTAAAATGAGGATAATATTATTTGTACTAACTAATGAATAGGATCTAAAATTATAAAACAGCGGTTTTTAAAATTTAAAGTGCTATGTAAATGTGTTAGCATCGTTACCACACCATTACATCACTGCTACACTACCATACTACACTACACTACTAGACAACATACCCCCAATATATACTTGTAGAAACACACACATATAAATACACATATGTATGTATGTGTGTGTACATATATATACATACACACATATATAGATATAGATATATATGTGTATCTATATCTATATCTATATCTATATCTATATCTATCTCTATCTCTATCTCTATCTCTATCTCTATCTCTATCTCTATCTCTATCTCTATCTCTATCTCTATCTCTATCTGTCTATATCTATATCTATATCTATATCTATATCTATATCTATATCTATATCTGTCTATATCTATATCTATATCTATATCTATATCTATATCTATATCTATATCTATCTCTATCTCTATCTCTATCTCTATCTCTATCTCTATCTCTATCTCTATCTCTATCTCTATCTATATCTATCTTTATATCTATATCTATATCTATATCTATATCTATATCTATCTATATCTATATCTATATCTATATCTATATCTATATCTATATATCTCTATCTCTATCTCTATCTCTATCTCTATCTCTATCTCTATCTCTATCTCTATCTATCTATATCTATCTTTATATCTATATCTATATCTATATCTATATCTATATCTATATCTATATCTATCTCTATCTCTATCTCTATCTCTATCTCTATCTCTATCTCTATCTCTATCTCTATCTCTCTCTATCTCTATCTCTATCTCTATCTCTATCTCTATCTCTATCTCTATCTCTATCTCTATCTCTATCTATATAATTCATTCATCTCTAAAATATACCCAACTGTAGTAAAAAAGTGAAAAGGGTACAGAAAACACAGAAAAGCAATTAATTAATGGTTTTGGAAAGTGCTTACTTGAAATGTTGGTGAGATGATGTTTCACTTACATTTCAGTAGATAGTCCCCAACTAGTGAATGTAAGTCACCAGATTTTTCCAATTAAAATAAACCAGTGGCTATCTTCTTGAAGTTGATGAAGTATATGATTTGAGATGGGTTCAACTTTTGTTTTAATTCTGATGCTTACTGTTAGTATTGTTAAGTCACTCGGTGAATCTCAGTTTCCCTATCTGTAAAATGAGGATAATAACCTCTATAGTAACTATCTAATAGGGTTATCGTGAGCATGAAAGGAGATGGTATATTAAGGTACTTTGAAAATTAGTGAAAAGAAATTTTAAAAAAAGATGGATTGAGGGAATTTTTGCTAATTTTACTTGAGAAGGAAATAATTCTCTTTAGTGAGTGGGTATGTTTTTTTTATTTCCTTTCCAACATAGCTTTTTAAAATGTATTTTAACAATACATTTTGTTTTTACTTTGCCTAGATTTTTTCTGTATCAGTGTAGTTTTAATGGAAACCAAGAGGAATTTAGGTTAGAAATCCCTCTATTAATTCATACAAGAAAACATTATTTTTAAAAAATAATCACTCAGCACTCCTGGAAGGAAAATGAAGATTCCAGACTTGCTCCTGGGGCCAAATAAGGGACCCCCACTGCTACAGAGAGCCTTTAACAGAATCCCTCCACATTCCCTCCTCTCAGTCCTCACAAAAAGTGACATTTACTGATTGCACAATCAGATAGAAGAGGAAGAGTGTGATGTCAGGCCTAGTGTCAGGAAGACTCATCTTTTCGAGTTCAAATCTAGCCTCAGACATGTAGTACCTATGTCATTCTGGACAAGTCAGCTAACCTCGTTTGTCTTTTCCTCATCTGTGCAATGAGTTGGAAAACAAAATGGCAAACCACTCCAGTTTCTTTGCCAAGAAAGCTCCAAATGAGGTCGCAAAGAGTCAGACATGATCCCGCCCCCCCCCCCCGGCCTGACGTTAGCGCACGCATGCCTCTCCCGGGACTCGGAGTAGCTGCCCTTGGGGCAGGACGAGGGGGTGATTACGGCGTTTATACTGATGAAGGAATACTGGGATGTCCCCACAGAATGCCACTGCAATGCCTATGTCATCACCAAGATGGGTGCTGCTTCGTGGCATGTGCCTACCACCTTGTGTTTTTCCCAACTGAATCAACCGCCGAGGGAATATTAAGGGCTGGGAAATTTAACGTTCTCCATGACTTCCGTGGGTGCTATATTTGGGATCACTTCCTGTGTCAGTGCTCAAATTCGGGGAAAGCCAGATGACCCCCTGAGCTATTTCTATGGAGGCTGTGCCGCAGGCATGACCCTCAGAGCTCGAATGCACAGCTATACCAGCGGGGCAGCAGCGTGTGTATACATGGGTGCCGTCGCTGCCCTTTTGAAGTTGGGCAAACTGGAAGGTTGGAAGCTGGCCAGCGGGCCCCAAATATAAGTACCGACAATGCCTTTGTCAGGTGTTTTGTTAAAAAAAAAAAAAAGAAAAGATTGATATATAGTAACTCTACTCAGCATTTCCCCCCAAAATTTCCTCATTCTCTGATGTTAAATAAAGCTTGGAACAGCTTGAAAAAAAAAAGAGCCAGACGCTACTGAATGATTGAACAACAACGACGAAAACATCGAAGGATGAAGTCAAGAGGTTGTGAGATGACAAGACAGAGAAAAGAGAAATTCAGTGGATGGCCTTGATTTTCCTCATAAAGGATGAAGCAGTGTCCTCATCTGAGAAGGTGAGGATTTCAATTACTGTAGGAGTCATAAGGATAAAAGTGCAAATATTGTGGAGAGTGGGACAGAGAATCTTTTAGGGATTTTGTAGTGATTTGAGAAGGGAGAATAGACTAAGAGCTAAAGAGATTAGAGAAGTCTTCTTCTGAGAGGAATCAGTTGCACTGATCCTTGAAAGGAAGTTAAGGACTCTAAGACATGGTGTGGAATGAAATTCAGGCATGGAAGGGACAATCTGTACAAAGGCATGGAAGTGGGAGGTAAAATAATTAGTGAGAGATATAGCAAAAGATCACTTTGTTTGGAGCCTAAGTTTAGGAAGGTGAGTAGTGTGAAGTCAATCTGTAAAGGAAGGCTGGGTGCAGTGGATTACATGGAACTTTGACCTCTCTGAAAACAGGAAGTTGGAACTAATAAGAAGTTCCTTCTAGCTCTGAAAGCTGTGGTTCTATCTGGAATGTTTTCGTGACGTATTCTCCACTACTGTCCAACACCAATACCTCATAATGTCATAGAGGTAACCTAAGTTCTCAAAGGCAATATAGGAAGGGTGCTGACAGAAGGCAGAAAGACTAACCTAGCTAGGTTTGGAGAAACTCATCAGAGCAGACAAGGTTAAGTGATAAGTTGTTTCAGTCACAGGAGTTCATGAAAGACATCTAGTAAGGCATAAATAGGGGGTGCAATTTGCCTTTGTGAGAGGAGTACCCGTACAGATGAAATCACAGATACTTGAAATATTGGAGTAAGTCAAATTCTAAAAGTAATAACATAGAAATATTGCTTAAATTGTTGTTGGTGACTTCCGTTCAATTGATAAGACAAAGTGATGACTTTTATCTCTTGCAAAGGAAATTACAGTGAACATTTTGTCTGGGAAAAAGGCCACAGGCTCAGAGGTTACTGTTAACTTTATAAATCTTTAGAGTACAAGAGCATCTTTAGTGACTGCTAATAGATACAGAAATTTCACCATTCAGTCATTTTCCTGATATGTAAGGCCATCTATTATGAGCAAAGAATGCTGAACAGTTTCTAATGATGCCTGTCTAATCACTAATCACACTTTTTATGATTCCGGGGTTTTGCATATTTACTTCTTCTTTCATGATGGCCTAGTGCATCCTTTTCAATCTTGTGAACAGGTTAAAATGCTATTCATCGGAAATAGCTCCAAATGAAAACATTTATTTACCAGTGAATCATAAGCATCTTTTGTTAAGGATTTCCATCTTAGGAGCTGATTTGTTACATTGATTTGGTGTGGTAGAGGAGAAAGGATGCTGTATTTTGAATCATATGGCCTTCCTTCGAATTCCAACCCTGACTTAAATTCCATTCCTGTTATTTGTGGCCATGGACAAGTCATCTAGCCTCTCTGGGTCCTAATTTCCTCATCTATAAAATGATGGAGGTTGGACTGGAAAACTTCTAAGGTCCTCTAAGTTTCTCAGGAAGACCTGAGTTCAAGTCTGCCCTCAAGCCACTTACTAGTTGTGTGACTTTGGACAAGTCATTTCATCTCTGTTTGCCTCAGTTTCCTCAACTGCAAATGGGGATAATAATAGTACCTACTTCATGGTTGTTGTGAGAGGATTAAATGAGATACTACTTGTAAAGTACTTTTTATGGTTCCCAGAATATAGTAGACACTATATAAATGCATATCCCTCCCTCTCCTTTGTAGCTCTAAATCTACAATTCTATGATACATGTTCCTTCTTTCTCTACTAGAGTGACAAAGAAGGACAAAATCATTTATTAAGTGCTTACTATGTGTTAAATAAATGTACAAAACACTGGAGATGCAATCCGAAAGCAAAGGCAGTTCTTTTTCTCCAGAATCTTCTATTCTAATAAAGTTAGGAAAAAACATATAGGGGAGTGGTGACCAAAAAGAAATATTTTATTTGAGAAAAATACAAGGATAGTTAGTAGAGATAAAGGGGAGTAAATGAACACATATCCTTTCCAGTAGCAAAGGAAGTGTTGATTTAATTATGGTTCTATAATTGGAGAGAGGAGGGCAGTAGTAGAAAATAGAGTAGCAAGGGAGTTGGTAAGAAGGTGGCCGGGTAATGTAAGAGAGTAGACTTTCTCAAAATAGGATAGGAAAACATACTTCAAAATCATTTTGCATCTTTGCAAACCACTCATAGCTTGAGCACCTAACCTATTGGCAATGTTCAAAGGATTAAACCCAGATTAATTGCATTAATCTTTTTAGTCCTTTAGGAAATAGATTATGTAAGTATTCTCATATAACTGACCTGTTATACCTAGGTGTTACTTCTGGAAATTTAACAGTTGATAAATAATCTGATTACAGAGTCAGTAGAAGATTTAGGAGTAAAGAGAGGTCAAAAAGGACCACAACTGTATAGTTGGGGTCAGCATCTAAAACCCAGGTGTCAGATTCATTTAGAAGAATATGTCCAAATGGCTTATTAAGTGAGGTCAAAAGAATAGCATCCCTGACCAAACCTCATCCTGAGTGATAAATCTAAGTACTGTGCTCTGAAAATTTAAAAGATAGGAAAGCCAGGTCATTGTGCTGAGTCAGATGGTTTCTGTAGTCTAATCCTTTTATCATTGCCCCACACTTATCAAATCATAACAGGTAATTGTATCATATTTAACATATTGCATGTACAGTATCCAGGCTGGCCAAGAAACAGACACCTATTCAGTCTTTAATTTACAATGCTGTTGTAATGGGGTTGTTGTGAAATAAGTGAGTTAATTGTGCAACACTTATGATTTTCTCTTGCAGACTAGATAAGAAAATGTTGGGTAATCATAAAATATTTACTTGAAATAAGTTTATAAATGTCTCTATTTATATTATTATTATTTATATTTTTATATTTATATTTTATTTATACTATTATGAATTATATTATCTCTTTTAAACATAAAAACTGTTATTTTAATTGTCTACTTACCAAATGGAGTTTCCTTCCCCAACTCTTTTATAGTTGGGATTGAAGGGTTGTTATTTATATAACAGAAGGCATCACAGTGGTGGAAGTTATGGGGTAAGAACATCCTTCAGTTAGATGCATGTAACGGACAACTCATTTAAAGAAATACACACACATACACATACACTTACTTTCCCTCCTACTGTCATCCATTAAACAGTGAAAAAGAAAAGAAAAAAAATCATTGTAATTAGTATGTATAATCCAGCAAAACACTTTCATTTTCTTTTGCTTTTGACCACCGTTTCCTCAGTTCTCCTCCCTTTTATTAGTCCTTTCCTTTTTCTTCCCCTTTACTCTTGCTACTTGTTCCCTCCTTTCTATCCCCCTTCCCTTTTCTTTCCCCTTTTCCTTCCTACTGTCTATAGGTCAGGTTAGATTTCTATACCTAACTGATTATGTTATTTCCTTCTTGAGCCAAATCTGATGAGAGTAAGGTTCAAACAATGCTCATCCCCATCCCTTCTTTCTCTCTGCTGTAATAGGTTTTTGTGTCTTTTCCTGTAATGTAATTTACCCTTGTCTGCCTCCTCCTTTCTCAGTACATTTTCTTGGATCAGACTAATCCACTTACCTGGATCCATTTAATCTACTTGATTGGATTTTTTTTTAAATCATTATATCAAAGTCAACTTATATCCACCCACTTTAAGTATACTCCTTTAACATGGTGTAATAACAATACAGTTCTCAAGAGTTGCAGGTGTCATCTTCCCTTGTAGGGATGTAAACAGTTTGCCTTTATTGACATCATATTGTATCTTTCTGTCCCATTTACCTTTTTGCATCTCTCTTGAGTCTTGTACTTACAGATCAGATTTTCTGTTGAGCTCTGGTCTTTTTATCAGGAAGGTTTGGAAGTCCCCTATTTTGTTGAATATCCATCTCCTCCCGTGAAAGATCATGCTCATTTTTGCTGGGTAGTTGATCCTTGGTTGTAATCCAAGCTCCTTTGCCTTATGGAATATCATGTTCCACGCCCTATGGTCTTTTAATGTAGAAGCTGCAAGGTCCTGTGTAATCCTGACTGTGGTTCCATGATATTTAAATTGTTTCTTTCTGGCTGCTTACTGTATTTTCTCTTTGATCTGGTAATTTTGAAATTTGGCTACTATATTCCTTGGTGTTTTCAATTTGAGATCTCTTTCAGGAGGTGATACGTGGATTCTTTCTGTGGCTATTTTACCTTCTGGTTCTAGAACTTCAGGGCAGTTTTCCTTTATGATTTCCTGAAAGATATTGTCCAAGCTCTTTTTTTCATCTTGATTTTCAGGTAGACCAGTAATTTTTAAATTGTCTCTCCTGGATCAATTTTCCAGATCAGTTGTTTTACCAGTGAGGTATTTTACGTTTTCATCTATTTTTTTTTCATTTTTTTGTTTCTGTTTGACTGATTCTTGCTCTCTCATAGAGTCATGAGCTTCCATTTGCCCAATTCTAATTTTTAACAGATTGTTTTCTTTTATTAGATTTTGTACCTCCTTCCCCAATTGGCCAATTGTATTTTTAAGGGATTTGTTTTCTTTAGTACACTTTTTTTTTTCCAGTTGGCCAATTGTGTTTTTTAGGGACTTGTTTTCTTTAGCATACTTTTTTTTCCAGTTGGCCAACAGTATTTTTAAGGACTCTTCTACCTCTCTCGTTTGACTTTTAAAATCCTTCTTGAGCTCTTCTAAGAAGGCTTTTTGGGCTTCAGACCAGTTCATATTCCCCTTTGAGGTTGCAGATGTGGGTTTGTTAACAATGTTGTCCTCTTCAGAATTTCTGCCTTGATCTTCACTCTCCTCATAATATGAATCTGTGGTGCGTTCCTTTTTACTCATGGTGTTTCTTTATTCCCTGGCCTTTAAAGAGATTGAGCTCTCCTGCTGGAGATCAGAGGGCACTGACCCTTGTGTTGGGAGCCTAGGTCTTGGTCACCGGTTTTGTGTGCTAGGGCTTCTTATGTTGGCAGTTGAAGGCTGTAGGGTTCTGGTAATTTACCTGGTGTTGGGTTGCAATCAGCAAGTCTGGAACTTTTGGGCAACTGTGTAGGTTGCCTGCTTTTCCTTTCCTTTAGCTTTTTTCAGCTCCTTTCAGATGGATGTTGCAGGGTGTTTATCTGCCTGGGGCCTTTATAGTTCTGCTTCCCTTATTTTTGCTGAGGCACTGGGAGACCCATTTGCTATAGAATGCCAAGGCACCTAGTAGTTTTCTGAGCTGGTTTCCACCGGTTCCCCCACCCTCACTGGGGCACTGGGAGGTCCATGTGTTGATGTTTGCCTGCTCTGCCACCTATGTTTCAGGATCTCCTCCTGGTGTGCTAAAGTGAGGCTTTCTGCTAGCTGGCTGGGACGCCTCCCTTTGGGTATTGCTCCCTTTCCCCCAGCAAAAGAGGGGCCTTTGCCATTAATCCCTAAAGCTACCTGGGCTACTGCACTGCTACTCCCAGTCTTTCTTCTGGTTCAGCTGTTCCAGGGTTTTTCCTGGGGCAATATTTTCTGGGCTTTCAGAGGTTGATAGGGGAGAGTGAGAGCAACTGCATTTTTACTCCGCTATCTTGGCTTCTGGAAGCGGAACTACTTTTTCATATTGCCAATGTCCAAAAATATATGCCTCATTCTGCATTTTAAGTTCTTTCCTTCTCTGAGAGGAGGTAGATAGCATGCTTATTCTTTAGCGTACTATGCTCATAGTTCATCATTGCATTGATCAGATTTCTAAGGTCTTTTGAAGCTGTTTTTCTTCATAATAATGTTGTCACTATGTAAATTCTCCTTGTTCTGTTCCCTTCACTCTGAATCAACTCATAGACATGTTCCTTATTTCCTCTGAAACTCTATATCATTATTTCTTATGGTGCAATAGCATTCCATTACATTCACATACTCTAATTTGTTTAGCTGTTCCCAATAAGTGGGTCCTGTGACCTTAGGAAACTTACTTGTGATTTATACAGTTAGTGATCTGGTTGGGACACTGAAAGTGTAAGTTATTTTCCCCTGGTCACAGATACAGGAGAATATGTCAAAGACAGGACTTGAAGTTGGGTCTTCCTGACTCTAAGACCAGTCATCCCTCCACTATAACAGGTTTGTTTCTCACCAAAGATAAGGTAGTCCAAAGGAATTTGCCAATGTAATATAAAAAGTGAACAATTAAGATCCTTATTAAATCTTCAAGAAGTAATCAAATCTGCATCTTTCTAGTGCTGGCAAAGAATTATAGTATCAGTGTACTTATATTGATGTAATTATAGTACCTTTTTGACATGCGTAAAGCAAGGTGCACAGTGACCTTGAAGAGAAATGTTTCATCATCCTCCCGATGTCCAGAAAAAAATTCTTTTTATACAAATTTCACTTAGAGAAAGCAGATTGAAATAGGTTTATCTAAATAAGCTTTTTTTTTTTTGCAGAAAATTGATTAGAAATGCTTTTCATTCAGTCAATTAATATGGATGTATTGGGCCAGGGAGAGTGAAATGAAAATATTTCTATCCATTAGTAAACGAAAAAAAAAATGCTTTTGAAAAAAATAAAGTGGCAAATCACTTTTCATAATGTTCAGCCTGCTACAGTATTTGCTTTAAGTATAAGTTAAAAAATAGCCAAAGAAAAATTACTTTCCATTGTAAACCTGGGTTTCCATTCAGCCTTCGATTCACTTTAACTGTGTGATCATGAGTAAGTTACCCAACCTTTCAGTCCTCCAGATAGCTTTAAGATTATAAATTACAGAGACTTGCTGCATTGCATTGATAGATGTAGTTTTCCACACCAGGAGTTCCTCATGTCTGTGAAATCATCTCCACTACCTCTAGAGGGACTAAAAAATATTAGCAAACTAGGATAGGCATTTTCTTTTAGAGGAAAATTTGAAGAATAATCTATAGTCACATTTGATCTATACAAATCATGTGAATTATCTACTAGTACATATAAATATTTTAGTCTGCTAGGTAAATAAATCAAATTATTAGAGCTTTAAGTGATTTCCTGTTATAAAATATGTAGCATTTAAGGATGGCTTCTGAACTTGGGGAGTGTAAACTTATTTTTTAAATATGTATTTTAACTATGTTGATATATTTTATTTCCTTTGTAATCCTATGTATTTTATTTTATCCATTTAAAAATGTTAGTGTGGGAAAATATCCATAGGTTTCACCCCAAATTCAAGGGAGTGAATCACACACACATGCAAACACACACACACACGCAAACACACACACACACACAGAGCTTAAGGATCACTGGCTTAGAGACAGTGTAATAGTGGAGTGAGCCTTGAACTTGAAATCACAAGACTTGGGTTCAAATTCTAGCACCAACACAGTGAGCCTCTGGACAAAATCATTTCATTTCAACTGAATTAGCTTTATGAAGCCACTATATACAAAACACTGATATATAGAGATCAAATGAAATAAACACAGAATCTACATTTTTAAAGATATAGGAGAGCTATTAATTCTGTACTAGACAATACTTAAAACAAAAAGTTTCAAGGCATGCAGATGAAAGGCAAAAAATATAAAATGTCTCAAATAGTCCATTATGCTTATTATGTATCTTCCCTCTCTCACCCCAAATAGTAAAAGCTAATCTGGACTGCAGAAATAAATGATATTACAATTTCATAGTTGCTTCAGGCTTATAATCTCAAATAGTTTACAGGATTCAGATCTTCTGGCTTACAAAGACAGGACTTTGACCCTCCTTAATCCTTCTGCTGGAGGTGCTTACATTCTAGTTCATCATTCTGATCATCAGTTTCATGCACAAAATAGGGCTAATAAAGTTTGTGCTTTGAAAAAGCATCAGCATAGAGCAGTGGTAAAATTCTAGATTTAGAGTCAGGATGAAATTAATTCAGATCGTGCCTCTTACTCATACTGACCATGTCGATTGTGTACATCACCCAACCTTTCAGTGCACCAGATCATACTAGAAGACCATAACATTCAGAGCAAATGCCCACCTGCATGGGTAGAGGGAGTACCCTATACCAGTGAAATCACACGTCTGATTCTCTCTACATTTATTCTCACTGTCTACCTCTCAAGGTTGTTATGTTTCAAAAAGCGCTTCGGAAATCTTAAAGTGCTAACTATTTTAAACGGTGGTTGTTGTTGTTGTTTCTTA